GTGTTAACAAATAAAATAAGCTTACGTCTTTGAGTGTCTGGAACGGCAATAATAAAATCTGCTCGGCAAAATGACATTTTACGTTAGGTTTGAACAGATGTGCAACGCTCCGTCTGTAATCAAATCGAAAAACCCCGATTTTGGTTGAAGATTGTGTTAAATGAAGCAGTGTATAGCGGTAGAGAGTTAACTAAGTACATCCTAAAATAAAAGCTCCCGTTTCTTTCATGAAAGATTTCGAGGCTTCTTCAAGGTTGCAAAAGAACTAGGAAATAATTTTGAAGAAACGAAAAGAAATGTCCTTCTTCCGATAGAAGAATCCTACTAAAATAGTCCTACTGAGGGACAATATTCAACGATTATTTATTGTGAATGATTTTTCTTTCTAAATAAAAAGAAAATATTTTTAGACTTACCTCTCACTGCTAAAGTGATATTTCCGAGAATTGCCAAAAGCAGCAAAACTGAAGGTGAAGGTGGAAGACACATTCCCAAGCGCATCTTTGCGAGTCTGGAGGTACACTGTTCTTCGAGTCTATCAGGAGCTTATTTTATTACAACCCTTTTAACTGGTATCATACGTCCATTATCAGACTACTATCTTTCTTGAAGAATGCATTGTTTTCAGCTAAAATTACTTTGATAAAGTCAGGCAATGCATGATCGGGAGCAGAAATAACAGCGCAACGCTAAATTATCAAGTCTGAACACTCTACTGAATTGACAACCCCAAAGTTTTCTTCTTTTAATTTCTCTTCAATGATTTCTTCTTTTCTCATGATCTTCCCACTTCTCCTTTCATCAAATTATTTTTATATGCTACATCTTTCTTTTAAGTTCTTAGTTGTACATAATCACTGCTACATGTTAAAATTTAAGATCTTAATTGCACTTTACTCTTTAAGAGGCTGTCTCTGTAAAAACCGACCACTGATTTTACTTCGAAAATTCGATTTTTCTCATAAGGTGGGATTTCGAAGCCATTACCTAGTCAATCACTAAAATGAGTTTTATTTGATTAAAAATTCTAATTGAGGTTTTCTAGGGTTGATTGAAGTTCGTTCCGCTCGACACAAGCTGCATGCCTGCCGAAACTGGAAAAATAGTACATATTGCACATATGGTTGAAAAAAAGAATTGGGACTTTTGAACGAATATTATTTTTTTAGAGCGCCGGCAATATGTGCTTAAAAGGTTCTGATATTTCTTTTTTAGACGTAGAGAGAGCGACTGTCACAGGTAGTTCTGAAGGATGGAATGACACAGACCTTCGTGGCTCCCAAACAAACTCGCAGGCTATCGCGACACACAGTTTTCCAACAATCTTTTGAAAGAATTTTATTCATATATGCTGGTTCGCTGGTTCCAAGCAAAACACTTTTTGGCAGGTACTTTACACAGGAAAAATTAAGGCCATGGGATTTTTTTTAAAAGAGAGGAAAAAATTGAAAACGTTATCTTTTTCTAGGATCGCAAAATATGACAGGCGTTGGTAATCGGCTGGAAGAAGGCTACATCCCTCGCCCTAATGATGGGAATGTTTTAGCTGGTGTGGTTGAAAAAATACTTCACTTGTTAGATCACTGAGTAGAAAGCCTAATTAATGAAGTAAAGGCACATGATCAATCATTGTTTAATACAAATGGCAGAAATGTTAAGCATGAGTGGCGAATGTTTCATCACATCAGCAATGTCAAACTGAATCACCATCAGATATGAGTAACGAAATGTCCTCGTTGCTATCAAAAGTTGAACAAGCGGCTGAGAAGTTAACAGGAGTTTAAAAAAATAAGAGTCAGGATAGGAATTCTGCTTTCAAAAACAGGAAAAATGTTACGGAAGAGGGGCCGGGGAGGGGGGGAGTACATTTTTATAACTAAGAATTGGGACGCCGGGTATAATTTTTGTCTGAAAATATTTGGGCGGGGGGGTCAGTTTTCAAACACTACACTTTTTTGGAAAACCACCGCCCTCCCCTGGGACGTAATAAACGATCGGTCCCTGAAGATGGCTTGTAGCTCGCGCTTCGTACAAGCCACAATTGCACAAAATGATGCCGTGTTAAAGCGTTGTCGGCCAAGAACTTCAGACACTGCTATTTGTGCTTCTAGGAAATTAAAGTGTCTGGACGTGTTTCTGGGCTCATCTACCAGGAGCTTACCATTTTCTTGCAATTTTTGCACAACAGCTTGAAAGAACTTAGTTTGGTTTGCCTTGTGGCCCTTCGGTGGTACTAGTAGTACAACTTGAATCTTGATTCTCGAAACTCCTGATGTATCTCAGGATTATAATACTGTTTAGATGGATTATCGCTCCTTCCTCATGCCATCTCGTCGAATTCATGAAAAAAATCTACAAACATGTAACGATAACGATGTTCTTCGCAAAACAACACTGGTCTAACACTACGATTTCGAGGTTAACTATAACTTTTTTTTTCAGAAATCGCGTAATTTTCTGTGCTTTTGTGACTCAGTCCACAAATTTAGATGCACTATAACGCAAGTCTTCCTCGCTTAATCTACATGAAAATAACCTTCCATGTGTGGAATTTAATAAGGTTTAAGAAAATTACAAAACTATTTCCATCGCTCTGCTTGTTTTGTTTTGTAAAACATCGATCTAGAACAGTGTTGTAATAAGAATTATAAAAATTAAGAAAGTTATTTTAATCCTTCTTAACAGCATTTGTGCAATTAATGCTACAAAGAGACTACTTTCGTGGCAAGAGGTTACGTAGTTATAACAACCACTGACCTGGGAGCGCAAACTAAAGTCTACCTCGACATAACCAATCAGGTTGCCTTCAAGCGACTGATGCATGATGTTGAATGCGAGACAGACCAATGACATGGAAATAAAAGCTCATGGATTCCGCCTGAGGGCACTATAGCCCTGTACACATTGCAATATACATAAACAAAAACCTCCATTTGGCGCGGAAATATGTTAGCATATTTGTCCTCGGAAATTATATCTCCCGACGGAAACGAACAGTTTTCCGAGAGCGTAGCGCGAGGAGAACTTTGAGCTTTGAGGAACAGATAATATCCGAGCATATTTTCGGGTCAAATGGAGGCTATTGTGTTTATTATCCTTCAAATATTTTCGCCACACGCGGCTTTGAAAATTGGATTTTAGCTGGGGAATATTCAGTCACGTGGCACGTTTAGACCAATTGCATTGCGCGTGAGCGAAAATATTTGACGGATTATAAAGCTCTATATGCTCAGCCAAATTTCCATCTCGATATGAGGAAGATTTCTT